AACATTTCTGTAAAATGTTGTTTTGATCAGGTTCTACTAATGCAACATTTCAGAATGCACATGAAAAAGTTGATGGTAACTGGCTATACATTCAAAATATACCAAATAAATATACCAAAAACCAATCAAATGTATATCAAGTTATCGCAACAGTATATTTATGTGAATGCCAACAACAAAAAACATTGGAAAAACACTTATATAATTTCATATACAGGTTTACTTTTATACATAAATCTTATCCTTCTGAGGCTTTCTAAAGGCAAATCTATGTTTTGCATGGTCCAATAATATGTCACAAACCTAAAAAACAATGTACCAGTTCAATAATGGAGAAGCTGTCAGTCAGCTTTGTATTTTTTTTAATATTTAAAATAATATTTATTTTCTGAGAATGTGTTTATTTAAGCAACTATGCAAATTAACAAACACCTAAAAAAGTAGACTATATTATTTTCCATGTGAATCCCAGATTGTTTATTGTTCTTTGTCTTTTCTAAAAAGTTCTTTAAATCAGTTCTACTTGTCTTTATCCATGCTGGCCCACGACCTCTTAGGGGCCCCATCACTGACACCTGGTTGGCCCCTACGCAGTCTACCCCTATCGCAGACTAGGACATCTCTTTGCAGATTTAGTGGTGCGAAAAAAATCCTTTTAAACCCCACTGATACTGAAGTGACTCTCCGCACCGGACTGTATTTATACCGCAACACATACCAGATTTCAACATGACGGTGAGCCGTTTAAACATGACACCAATAGCAAAGCAGACAGTGGTACTTTTATTTTCTATGTTAATAACTGTGTATAGTTCACTAGACGGTTGTTAAAAAATACACTCATATAATATGTTTCAAACTGCAATGAAGATTATTAGTATTTTAACTTTTACACTACAACTTGGAATTATGGGTAACCCAGAGTGTAGATAAGCGTAGATAAGCATCGCCCTGAAATTATTTTTTGGAACATGGGATGTCTGTCACGTGTGGTGGTGCGCTGTCACCAATGGTTCCATTCAAGGTGCACAGTCACTATTTTTCCAGGTGTGATGTGTGATCATATACTACTGAGAATTGCATAATTTTTTTCTTCTTGGCCGACTTATGGAACTGTCACCCTATCCTGAACCTTTGTCACGTGTTGCCCACCCAGATAATGTTAATTATGGGCCTATTGTTGTGTTGTTACGGCATTGCACAAAACGTCTGCAGTGTGGCAGGAGGGGGTGAGCACTTCCTGCCCCCTGAGCTCTCCTTTACCTTTGTATTGCAGAGGAGCTACTGCACATATACAACTTTTAACGAGAATCAATGGGCAAAGATTTTTGTTCCCTAGGGCGGGAATATGTCACCAAGTCATCAAAGATTAAATATTTCTCTTGCACATTTAAAATTAAATAAAAAAAAAACAAAACAATCTATACATTTTTTTTAATGTCTTAATCAGGGCCATTAGGTGGGTGGGGCGGTGCCCTAGCACGCTCTATTGGCCAGCCGCCACTGGAAACATGTCTATTGAGTCCATCCTTGGCCATTTTAGTAGGTTAAATGAGCTGAGAAATTCTGTGGCTGTGGGTTCTGGAGTAACCTTTCTGAAATATTCACCAAAGTTTCATGGTTCTTTGTTTTCTTTAGATAAAAGCAGACCTTTATTAAACTTGTCATGCGTTTGTAAATGTATCATGCTATTATATAAAATCTTGTAATGCTGAATGTTAAAAAGCCTTACACCAAAGTTTTTCAAGACACACTACCCTGCATAGTCTACATGTTTATTTCACTTGATGGTTGATGAAAAGGCTTTTGATAACCTGCAATAAATGTGAATCAGGTGGGATAAAGCAGAGAAACATCTAAAACATGCAGTGCAGAGTACTGTAAGAACTAGAAATGAAAAATACTACCCTACACAATCATGTTTCTACTTTCAACCTTCACTATTTGCAGCTGTTTTGCTTTAACTTTTGTCCTAAAAAAAAGTCTGTTTATGACATCCAACGAGCAAAATTTTGACCTAATCTGATGGGATTGCATTCTCCAACTATTTCACAAGCTTACTTTAATGTTCTTCAGCAAAGTGTGAGCAGCCTTCATCCTGCTTCTTCCTGCAGCGGTACAATATACTGTGCTGAGAGTGCATTCAGACAATGAGAGCTGAGGGGATTATTAGTTCATTTGGGAAATACCTGCTAACCTTATTTCTTTTGAAAGCTTTCTGTAAGTGGTTTTTTGGATAATTATGTTCCGTTCTCTGTCCTAAATATTGCAGCACCTCTTTGTGGCAGGTTTATAGTGTAATTATGTTCCGTCCAGATTATGGCCAGAATACTATTCACTTGAACCTTTTGTACTTCCTCTTTCTCTGCATTATTATTTTGTTTTGAAAAAAATATGTCACTAAACGTACTGATGATTACCTCAGAGAGCTTATTGGGTTTGGTCGTTGTGGGAGGTTTGTTCTGTGATGCCTAGATATCAAGGCCCTTTTCTCTGGACCATCAGTTTGAACATTACCGACTGATACTAATTTGGCCAAACTGACAGGGTGGATTTTTAAACATTGACAGTTCAGCTCAAATCTATTTCCCTGTGTAATTCCATATGTATACATATGGCTTACTTTATGGTTTCCATGGTTAGATTTTTTTGCTTTTGATGTTACTGACATCCAGGTGTACTTTTAGGCAATATATATATATAAAGAAAAAAAGAGACAATTCATTCCTTGTTTTACCAACTAGATTGCCTGAAATATGACAATTAAATACAAAACAGCAAAATATTGATGTTTTATTCTAGGTGCTGAAGGTATGGCTAGTAAAAGTCACATATAAATAGTTACCCGCCTAATCCTCTTATGTATTATGGTTACCTGTCATGCTCTTACTTTAGAGTTAATGAGATTAGGTAAAGTGCCCAGCAATGCCTGAGCGCTCACATGCAAGCCTCAAAAGCTTAATGGACTTTGCTTGCTCCCCCAATTTTTTCAAAGGTTGTGTGTTGTGATTACTTTCTAATATTTTATTTGAAATGCAATGAAAGATGACAGATTTACAAAATATCGTGTAGTAGATTTATAATATTTGTATTTCTGTGCTTTTAAGATTTTTGATATCAGTATTAAATTGATAGCATTTCTTTAATACTATGCTATGGTTTATTAGATACTTCCAGTAAGATAATGAAATTTATTGAGGTACAGTAAGATTTTGGCTGAAAATCGAGATTTGAAATATAATGAGCTTGTGCCTGATTTATTACTACACTTAACAGTTAAGGGCCAACATCTCCCCTTTTCCTTTATGAAATTGACCGATTTTAATTTCAGCTTACAAAAGTAAGTATACTTAGAAAAGTTTACTTTAAGTTAAATTTTGCTTATGTAATTTTAACTTTTATTTGTGTAACATTTGCACTGGTAGCTAAATTGTCTTTGTGTAAAATTAAATTTTAAGTTACTGTATTGTCACCTAAGTCTTTTTGGGGGGGGTTGCCCAATTTTCACCTCTGCATGGCACCAAATGCTGAACTAATTAGAAAAATATATGCAAAGAAAAAGAGAAAACTCTTTTATTAAAGAATAAGGAAACATTTCTATTCTATTTGAACAAACAGAGACAGATATATGTATAAGAGAGAAACAGTCAAAGGAGGTTTGTATGCCATTTCCCCTTGGTGTTTATCCAAAAATCTCTAGTAAAGTAATTTAATATTTATTCTAAATATAATTGAAGGTTTCCTTTAGAAAAAAAAATGCATTAGCTTTCAGTAGCTGGAAGAAATAAAATACTATAGCAAGCAGCAGGTCTGCATACCGCTCCTAAATCTTTTACCAGTGGCCAGTACCAGACCATCCTGGCTTTTTCCAACCGTCCTTATATAGACCAGTGAAGTTAATGACTGGATAAACCAATGTGAATGGATGGATGGTGGATATCTTTGTTGTGTTCCTAATGGTTATAAATGTTTTTGCTAATAACATGGCACATTGTATTCTTTATCCAGTTTTGTCCCAATTTAAAGGAATTTAACATTCTAGGCTCCATACTATTGCTTCATACATCGACTTAGAATAGCTAAGCTTTGATCACAATCTCATTCTGTAATTGTGCTTTGGTTTGAAGGTAGCCTGTATATTTATATTCAGAAATGCTAGTAAGTTAAACTCCTTAGAAACCAAATGGTATTTAGAGATAAAATCCTTTGGAATTTATGAATGTACACTGTGGCAAATAATAACAGAATTCTTACCTGGTGTGTCTTAGCAAAGTTTTTAGTTTTGCAAATAAATAGGTTGTTCAGGGATTCTGTCTAATTACCTCCTATTAATGTAAAGTCGTGTGTCTGAAAAGTTCTTTTTGTATTTCTGTCTCAGGGCTGCATAATGAAAGAGTAAATAAAACCGCCCTCTTGGTACCCATGAGAATAAAAAAGCCCCTTGGAAGTCCCCTTTGCATTTAAAGCAATTTGTTCTGAATTTCTTTTTTTCCTGGGAAGCTTTTGATCAGTGACACCACCCAGAGATAATGTGAAGCATGAAGGCCAAATCCTGCACTGCATTGATTGAACAAACACACCCCACCTCCCTCCACCAACTCAAACACACTTGTGCTGCACTAATATCGCCACAGTGTTAGTCCGCTACAGCAATAGCAAGTGACAGCAGCAGCATTCATTTATAAACAGGGAGTAGCCTATTAACTTACACATAGTTTTTTCTTTCAAAACCTGTTTCATAGCAACAACACTTTAATGCACCTGCAGATTTCGGAAGGAAAAATGGTCAAATGAAATGTTATTAAGCTATTTTGCATTAATATACAATATAGTTGTTTATTACTTAGTGCATTAAAAGGTAGGATTCATTTGAACTTATTTTCTTTTGTGTTTCTTCCCTCTTCCATCTGTAATCCTCTGTTACCCCTACTCTTCTGCCCATTCCCATTCTACCTCCCTCCTTACATGCTTTACTCTCCCTCCCTCTTTTTCTTTCCCAGGCGAGTGATGCATACTGCAAACAGAGTGTGCGTGTAGTGTGAACAAGACCTGCTGGTGCATGTGTAACCCTGTGAGTAAGAGTGTGCGTAAGGAGAGAGAGAGACTGGGACTGAGACCCTAACACGGAGCATGCCTCTGCGTCCGGCAGCCGGCAAACATGAGCCACCCCGCTCTTCACGGCAGGACCAGCAGCAGCAACAGCACGCATCCACACACTCACACACGCACCCCTACACACACGCAGCCAACGGCAGCCAGGGGGGCAGCACTGACAGCAGCAGCTCCCGGGAAGAGGAGAGCGGCGTACCCGTTCCTGACGCTGTTCTGGCTTTCAGTCCCGGTGGAGAGCACAGCAACAGTGCAGGAGCACCCATGGAGGAGCCAACAGGCAACACTGTGGTCATCCGCATTGGAATCCCAGACCTACAACAGACGGTAGGAGCTTTCTCTGTTGCCACTGCTGGAGAGTGTAAAAGAGAGGGAAGGTGCCTCTCCCCCTTTCTCGCTGTCAAGCTGCTTTTAACCTGTGTTCTTTGCTTGGAGTGATGCTCATTATAATTATTAGCAGTATTATTAATGTCTGTATATCTGTCTTCATTCTGGTTTTACCTCTTTCTGTTTTCAGTATGCACACTTTGTGGATTTGCTTGATTGCTGGCTTATTTGGGCTCCACACCCCCTGCATTTTTAACTGGTCTCTCACTTATAAAGGTACCTCTATGTGAACAGGGCTTCAGTGGACTTTAACAATGAGCCTCTTAGGGTGAAAGTAAGAGAAGAGGAATGCACCAAGTAAAAAAGGATGATAATCTGAACAATCAAGAAAAAAAAAAAAAAGTCATAAATAAGAATTGTACAACTTTACTTAAAACCAGTCTCTGTGTTTTAGATAATATCTTTTTACATTTGGACCAAAATGCTCCCGGTGTAACAGCCTTCATTATCAAGCTGCATTTTTTTTTCTAAAGATCTAGGCTATAACTAAGTATTTTGCTTCTTCTAATGAAAAAAAGCACAACCATTAAACTGTGAGATTGGCGACTTCCTGCTGTTGTTTAATCTAGTCTAGAATTTGGTATGCTCTCCCCATCTCTTAACAAATTCAGCGTGACCAAAAGTCTCAGTCATCTTGTGATTGCTGCAGAATGTGCTGCAAAGGTGCTATCAATCAACATAGATGCCCAGATCATTCATTAATTTTCTTCCAGATTCATTTATATGAATTAAACAATGATTATACAATATGATACAGTTATTTCTTTTTTTTGTCTGGAAATTTAATTTGTTTACTTTAAATAATCAAAACTAATATTCTCCTTAAAAATGTAAAGGTTTGTAAATTAAATTGGACAAGATTTATATATGCAATTTTTTCCCCTTTGTTTTATTGCTTAATGTTTTGATTTTTAGAGTGCTAAATCAAGACATAAAATGAAACAGACACTAATCAGGCATGAGATTATGACCACTGAAAGGTGAACAAAATAATGATTATCTCTTCCTCACATCTTAGAACTTGTCATTAAGTGTGATAAATTATCATTTATAAACAATTAAAGTTTTTTTCCCCCTGATATCTTAATGGTAATCTCCAAATCTTTACTTCTGGGCTGCTCCCAGTCTGCTGTGGTTGTTTTCAATCAAAAGAGGGACAGGGTGAACCATTAGCTCCCATAAAGGGGAGTGATGGCAAGTACCCGATTCCACAACCTCCACTCTGGGTTCCTGAGCAAAACCCTTAACCCCACTCTGCTCCCCACACAATGGCAGCCCATTACTCCCCAATGGGATGGGTCAAATACAGAGAGTGAATTTCCCCATTGTGGGACAATAAATGGATTTACATTTTGACAGACTCAAGGATGGACAGTGTAGTCTAGTCTAGCACATGTAGCATTGTAGTTTGTATTGCTGAAGACATGATTATGGTTGTGCCACCAGATAACTGAGAACAACATCACAAGATAGAGTACATTGCAATATTTTGTGTGTGGGATTTCATAGTCTAGCCATCCCATAATGAAACATTTCTGCAATCCATGGTGCCATTAATGGACATGCTAACATTTGAACTGGGCCATTTAGAAATGGAAGATGGTTGAGCTGGTTTAAATAAATGGTTGTTGGTAACTATTACATGGGATCAGTGCTTAATCACCCATCAATTTCCTTCCACTTATCTTTGAATACATGAAAGAGTAGCAGGTCCAGGAGGAAACCTTGACATCCTTTTTTGTGCAGTGACACTATTCAGCAAATGGGATCCAAAGTTGTTTCAAGACCGGATGGGAAGTATAAGTTCTAGGTCTGCGCGTTGGTGTCCTTTCAGTGGCAGGCGCCCAAATATATTTGGCAGCATGTTGTATTATTGGAAGAAGACAAGCTGTTTGAGGCAATGTGATGCGTTTAGTGATGTTTTTCTCTTGAAAACATTTAGTCCTACTATGCATATGGATTTCAGTTTGACATCTAGCACCTGCCTGAACACTGTTGCACACCAAGTGCAACCTTTCATAAAACACAGTCTTTGGCTTCTTTTAATAGATAATCCACTCAACATAAAGCCAGAATGATGTCTTGGGTGCCCAGAATCTGAGCTGTCTTTTTTTTTTTCTATTCTTTTTACATGTTTATTTTATATAGTGCTTTACAATAAATTACAATACATTTAATCTCAAAACACTGTATTAGACAAAAGCTGAAATTTATATAGTAAAATACATAGTAACTATAGTCCAGTCATACAGGAAGATTCAGAGAGAATATCGTCAATTCCAATATAATAATTGGCTGGGACACAATGCTGTTGAGTTTTGTTTACTGTGGAAATTTGGAAAAGCCTTTCTATATAGACCAAGATCTTCAGCCTGGTCTTCTTATGCTACGTTCACACTGCAGGCCTTGATGCTCGATTCCGATTTTTTTGTGAAATAAATTTTTTTTCTGCGTTACCGTTCACATTTCCAAATATATGCAACTTGTGTGTGATCTCCTGTGTGAACTGCAGTCATACAACGCAAGTGTCCCGCATGCGCAGTAGAGGACACAATGACATCACAGGCCAGTGTGCTCTGTGTTTATGGAAGTAAACATGGATGGTAGTGCCGGAGCACATCTAGCAATCTTTCCCAACCATAAAAACACAATCTTTTCAAGATGGTTAAACATAAATACTGCTCTCCGCATCATCGTCTGCCATGGTTGTTGTTTTTCTTGCTGCTTCTTCATAGTAAGACCCAGAATAGGGAAGTTTGTCGGCTAATAATGGCGTTCAGATCGGATGAATGCGAACTGACCGTTCAGACACAGGTTGCATTTTAAAAGATCAGATTCGTATCGGATTCAGGACCACATAGCCAAGTGGCCTGAGTCGCATCGGAAAAATCTTGTCATGAACCTCATGAAAAGATCAGATACAGGTCGCATATGGCCCAAAAAATTGAATTTCGGTCACTTCAGGTCTCAGTGTGAAAGTAGCCTTAGATATGTCTCTGATTCCGCATATGTGAATCTTTTCCTTTTCAGCAACCTGCAAGCTGGGGGAAAGGGTAGTTGACAACCTTTTTTTCACTAAAGTCAGGTGTGTGGTGGTATGAGAACACTTAAAACATTCTAGGCAGTGGGCCCTGAGGACCAGGGTTGAAGATCTCTGATCGAAGGCAAACCAACTGATTGCATCAAGTGGTTGACTTTGAGCAACGTCTACTCCTTAAATGCATGCAGCAGCCATTGACAGCTGATTACATTGAATCTTTTTCCTTGTAGGAATCTCCCAGATTGAACATGCATTAATATTTGACCATCTGTGGAATGTTCTGAGGAAACAGGTGTTATCTATGGAGATCCTACATCACAACAAGGAGGTCTTAACAAGAATCCTGCCAACATCTTGGGGGTAAATACCATAGCAATGCAGTTGACAATGCACTATTTGACAAATCTGTCACTACTGGTCAAAAATCTTTGCCTAATGGGTGTATCTTGACCCTCTATATTTAGGTTGTTGTATATGGCAGTTTTTGCTTCCAGTGTGTGCTCAGGTAGCACAAAGAAGATTGCACCAAATGTTTTAATCTGTGAAGTTAATTTTTCTTTATCCATTTTATATTGTAGCCTCTCATCCTCTTATCAACATTTACATAAAATACATCCTACTCATTAATCTTGAATGTTGATCCTGCCTGTTTAGCATAATTTTACTATGAACAATTATTTGCTTTTGAGTTAAGCTCGGGTGCCCTTTTTATTGTTCCACTAGACCAGCTAGACAAAGTGTGAAAGACTGGTAATGTGTTTTGCTATTGTTTATTATCGCATTGTGGATTGCTGAAATGACCCATTGTATCTTAGTGAAGCGCCAGCTCTGCATGCCAGGAATAAAGAAAAGAAATAAAGCAGGGCAGTTGAAAAGACAGCAGACTATTCCCTAAAGGTACTGCAGAGGAGCCTTTGAGCAAAATTGTTTTAATTCTTACTTAAAACACATGCACACACACTACCGCTCAAGTCCTCACATAATAATCCTAATCTCATTCCCAGAGGATTTACCTTAAGGTTCTTACGTAATGCAAAGATGCTCAACAGTTCATTAGCCTTGCTCTCAAGTAGTGACATTCTACTCAGTAAATTGCTAAACTGGTGAGAACACATATGGTTTAGAGTGGTGATCGACAGGCAAACAGAGCAAGCGCCTGAAAATCTGTTGGATAAACATAGAGGCAGATGACAGATGGCTAGATTTGGAGACTTTGAAATTTTTATGCAGCAGTCAGAAGTGACTTCTGTATACAACAAGTGAAACGGGGATCACTCTAGGAGAGTCTGCCTGAGTAGGATTACATATCTCCTGCTGCGTTTTAAGTCTGGATCTAAAGAGTGAAGTATCATGCAAAGATCTCATTGGGAATCATTTTAGCATGCTTTGTGGTAAGGTTTGAAAACAGTCACCTTATCCTGAATGTGAATAGAACTAGGAATGTGATTGTATATTTCATGAGACATAAGAACAGATCAAACACTATTACCATCATGTCAGAACTTGAGGTAGTGGAGGAGTATTAATACATTGGTGTTTGCCTGGACAACATACTCTACTGAAGATGGAAATGTGAAGCTGTCTACAGGAAGATGAAAAGCAGACTGTACTTCTCAAGGGAGGCTTTAGGTCCCTCAGTGTTTTGAGCAAGGTGGTGCAACAATATGGCATCTTCTATGGGTCTTTTATGGAGAGTGTGGGGCCTTTGTTGGGGTAGCAGAAAGAAAACATTTGAAGCTCAAAAAGCTTATAAATAAGGCTGGTTCTGTTCTGGGAACTCCTTTAGAACCTCTGAAGACAATTTTTTTCAAGGAAGTCTTCATAAAATGAAGGAGATTATTTACTGCATGGAAAGTCTGATTTTTTTACCCACCTAAACTGTCATGAAACCACTGCTTTG